TAAGAATAAAAGTAAAGCAAGAGAAAACAAGATAGAGGTAGAAAGCATATTGTACTGCAGTGGTAGTAACAGCTTAAAGTGCATGTCTCATATTATTTCTTGTTTCTGTTTAATGAAGGTCTGTTTATGATAAATACTGAATTACATTATGTCAGATAGATGTTCTGCACTAGTTAGAAAATTCTCATGTTCAATACGTGTTGACATGCAGCTTATGCGCATAAAAAAATAATATTGATACAGATGACTCTTAATCATCATTCTATATCACTTCTAAAACTAAACAGAAGGATCTGTATTCAAAGTATGCACTTATGTAAATATCATCTAAATATACATTTATACAGAAAAAATTCAAATAAAGAAGAAAAATTGTAGGTCTTACTTAGAAGAAGAAGAAGAAGAAGAAGAAGAAAAAGACTTGAGCTCATATATACACACCTTTTCCAGATCCACGACATTCCTTATTCCAAACGCTATGGTGTAGCAGTCAAAGTGATCGTCGGGGAATGGAAGCTTTTGGGCATCTCCGCAGATCCAAGAGAGTCCGGAATATCCCAACGCTGCTGCTCGCTTCTGTCCTACATCCAGCATCCCCTGACTTATGTCGCAAACAACAACCTGATGGATAAAAGTGTTTGTCGATTATTTGGATCTGGTGCTAAGTAAACCTCTCTAAGGAATGGCAAAATGAGGGAGAGGGGAAGGAAGGGAGAAAAAGTGGAACAGAGAAAGAAGAGAAAAGAGAGGAGAGAGGGAAGGAAGGGAGAAAAAGAGGAACAGAGAGAGAGAGAGAGAGAGAGAGAGAGAGAGAGAGAGAGAGAGAGAGAGAGAGAGAGAGAGAGAGAGAGAGAGAGAGAGAGAGAGAGAAGAGAGAGAGAGAGAGAGAGAGAGAAAGAAAGAAAGAAAGAAAGAAAGAAAGAAAGAAAGAAAAGAAAGAAAGAAAGAAAGAAAGAAAAGAAAGAAAGAGAGAAAAGAAAGAGAGAAAGAAAGAGAGAAAGAGAGAAAGAGAGAAGAGAAAGAGAAGAGAAAGAGAAAAGAGAAAGAGAAAGAGAGAAGAGAGAAAGAGAAAGAAAGAGAGAGAGAAAGAGAGAGAGAGAGCAGATAATAAGTGTCAAGAAAAAAAAAAAAAAATGAAAAAGAGAAAGGTAAAGAAAAGGAACAAGAGAGTTAATTTACTGGCAAACATTTTTTTAATGATAATTAATTACACCAAATATGAACATAGTACCAAACATGAGCATACCTCATATGGCAATCTCAGGCTATCCTTCTCTCCAGGGTCTGATTCACTGACTTCACTCGGCACAACTGTTCTCCCTCTATTAGCCTGCTCGATGTGTTTGATGAAGCGGAAGGCAATGTCACCTTGATTGAAGATAAAAAGGAGTATGATTTAAAAATAAAAGAAGAATACGAAATAGAATACGAGTCATATCCAACAATAAATCGAGTCAAAGATTGTTTTGAAAGACGATAAAAATTCATTACTTTTATCAATATAAATACCTGTTGGCGACATCTAAGAGTTTGGTAACTAGGGTTTATGCGGCGCGATGAATGTCTTTCCATATCCGATGTGACATGAGGTCGTTCATCACATCATATTTGTCTGCTACATTCTCAAAAACTTCATGTACTGTTGGTAGAAAATATATTATGAGTGAGATTAGATATAGTGGAAACTTTAAGAGTGAAGCTTAAAATTATCAGAGGTATTGGCTTAATTTGACACAGTGAGAAATCCTATCAGACAAAAGCTTATGATATAAATTTCTTATAAACTTTCACAATATAAATTTTGGTACTAAAAAAGATAATAGTTTTTTTCACCTTTTAACTTTTTCATCTGTGGAGTTTAATTTAAAGAAATCGCAATAGCAATACACCTAATTGTTGCAAGAAATGTGTAGTTGTAAATTAAGGTACAGTAGCAACACTTTTTAAAAAATAAACTATCTTCAATAAAAATATTTTGAATTCATTTTCAGCTAAAGTTAGTATGTAATTTTAACATCAATGTAGTAAACTATAGCTAAAACTCTGGAGTAAGTAGAACAGAAAAAATACTCAAACACTTTATAGAACAAATGACTATTCTGTCAGATCTCACAGAAAAATAATGAGCATCTTTTAAAAATATCCAATGACAATACTTATATTGCATGAAAACAGGAAAGGAGTTGCAGAAGACACTCATTGTGACAGCAAATGAAGTACAGATATGGGAAATATACAAAATACAAATCCTTGGGAAAATATTTGACAATTCTTATATCATAATTAATTTTTGAACATGATATTACACAATACAAAATATTATCAAATGCAGTTCATTAGTAATGCACTGTTGCCTTGGTAAGAATATTGTCTATATAAGTACAGGTCTCGTCACTTCGCAGCTTTGGGTGATAAAGCCTATGACGTCATGCAGAGGTGGACTGAGAGCAGGGAGCCGGGGGAATCAGAGATGCTAGAAAATGATGATAGAAAATGGAAGCAAATGAGCAAAAACTTAAGTAATTCTAGATGCCAGCACAATGAGCAATTTGCATGTTGAGATTTTAAGACGAATTACCAGTGATTATTTTGTAGGTTATATCCATGGTTTATGTGGATTCAGTTTTGTAATCTCATGGGCAGCTTCGATATGGTATAATAAAGAAGGCATATAAACAAAGAAGACATGGCAAACTCATATAAAACAAAATATATACCACAACCAATGTATCGCAACATGCTCTACATATACATAATAAATATACATATATAATATACATATATTTAATATATAACATAATAATATATATAAATATAAAATTATATAATATACAATATAAGTATACATATATACTATCATATATAAGATGAAGCATATATAGTAAATGAATACAATAAACATAATAAAGATAACGAATATTCACTTCAATACTCATAAATAATATTATATAATATATAGTATATATTATATATATATAAATAATACAATAAATATACTATAATATATATACTAAAATAATTGATAGATATAGATAGATAGAGGACCTAATAGGACACTAGTAGAATAGATATTTTAATAGATAGATAAATTGATAGATAGATAAAGATAGAGTTAGTTCGATAAAAACATGATTATATAAGATATAAAAATAAGGATGGTGTATTGTTATAGCTAGTATATAGTATTTATATATATATATTAGATATAAGTTATAATATATGATATATATAATAACTATATATAGTACTAAGGTATATGTATGTATGGCTATGTCATGTGTGTATATATATGATGATATAAATATGAAATAATATATATATAATTATAACCCTCCCAGCGCCTACCTTCTCTATCTCACCATCTCATCTCTACAACTAACTTCTTCTCTCTCCGTCTATAATGAGCTTTATTCAACTTCTATACCCCATCATCCATCTAACTATCATAAATCTATCATCTAGTACTCCTATATAGTTCTGTATTTTCTATGTACTTTCTATTCTGTACTATATATATCTTGTGTATCATCTACTGTGATAATTACTATTTATACCTCTATAATTATACCTATCTATACATATATAATTATAATGATACTATACACTCATCTACTTGCATCTACTATTTATTTATTATACACACTGATATCATAGTTCATAGCTCGCCTATGTCTACTCATATCCACTCACTATATTACCTCCCTACCCTCATCCTACTCAATCCATTAATTAACTATCACAACACATACATCCACCTCTACCTTATTACCCACACAGTATATATATATTACTATACCTCACTAATGTTAGACTCGCTATCACTCTCATGCTACCTAACCATGTATACCTACAAACATATATATACCTCATCCCACTATCACCACCTCCACATTACACTACTCCCATCATAACTATCCTACGCAGCACACTTCAACTCCAACAAACAAACACTCACATAAGATATACATTATAATGTATCACCACACTACACACCACCAATAGATAAATATGATAAAAACTGATAATAAAAAAAAAAATATATTAATAATGATATAAATAAAAATAATAATATAAATATAAAAATAAATAATAAAAAAAAAAAAATGATAATATCATAATCAAACTAAAATAAATATAAATATCCTCTAATATATATATAATAAAGAATAAAACAATTAATATAAATATCAATAATTAATATAACAAAGATATAAAAAATCATCATGTATAAAAAATAACAAAAATTACATTTTCTCATCTCTCTGTCTCTACTCATCTCATCAGTCTGTTCTCCCAAACATTATCTCTCTATACTCTGTCTCACTCTCTAATAAAAATCCTCAAAATCTCTCTTACTTCCTTCTTCTCTCCGCTCTCTCTCTCTCTCCAAAACACACACCAAAAAAATCAAAAACAAAAAAAAATACTAATAAAAAAACTAAAAAAAAAAAACATCCTATATACACTGTCATAACGTACTGTGGTATATATATGTGTATATATATATTAGTAATATTGTATGTATATACGTGTTTATATTAGGATTATATATGTATATATATATGTAGTATTATATATTGTATATATGTATATATAGAGATAATATGTATTATGACTATAGTGTATATACTATTGGATAATACTAATGTGGTGTATATATATATATAATAGAGATTATATATATAAGCTATTTAATTATTAAGTATAATTAATATATTAATATATAAAACATCTCGCAAACGTAATCATGTTGACATGAGAAACAGAGTCTATAATGAGATGGATTCCTTAAATACAAAGATATTGAACAGTATATAAGATTATATAGATTAGAATACCATAGCATGTAAAGTTATCCTATATGTTATTGTGAAGATATCCAGTCCTGCATTCATACTTTTCTATATAATATAGATAAAACAGGTAAGTATAGTATATATATATATATAAAAGTAATTATAGTAGATAAATAGTATATAATATGGATATGATATTATAGTATATAGTATATGAGTAGTATATAATTGATATATATGATGAGTATGGTATAATATAGTATATATATGTAGTGTTATGATAGTAAGATATGATATTAGTTATATATGAGTCATATAATCGATGGAGGTGGTAGTATATGATACATGTGATATAGCGAGAAGTATACGATAGTAGTAGTATGGGAGTTGAGTCATATATATTATATATATCGTATATATTATGCACTCGTTATTAGATATATTATTAATTATTATATATATTACATATGTAGTAGAGATATAATACTATATATTTGTATATATGTGTATATAGATGTTGTAATTATATGTGCTAATGATAGTGTTCGTATATATTGTGTACTACATGGTGTAATATGTGTATATATGTGTATCATATATGTATATTATGTATATATATGTATATATATGTATATATATGTATGTAATATATGTGTAATATGTGTATACATGTGTAATGTGTATGTGTATATATATAATGTGTGTATATATAGTATATTATATATATAGTATTATATATATATAAATATATATATATATATATAAATATATATATATATACAGATATATATATATATATAATATATATAATATATATATAGTAGTATAGATTATATATAAAACACATATATACATACACACAACACATTACATAACACACACAGCACACACACCACATACACACACCACACACATCTATATATATATATATATATATATCTATAGTATATATATAGATGATAGATAGATAGATAGATATAGATAGATAGATAGATAGATACATAGATAGAGTAGATTACATAGAACATGTACATAGATACATAGATACATAGATAACACTAGTATAGACTACATAGATAGATTCAGACTATACACAGATAGATAGATAGATAAGATAGATATAGATAGATAGATAGATAGATAGATAGATAGATAGATAGATAGATAGATAGATAATAGATATGTAGGATAGATAGATAGATAGATAGATAGAAGATAGATAGATAGAAGATAGATAGATAGTTTAGATATAGAGATAGATAGATAGATAGAGATAGATAGATAGATAGATAGATATCGATAGATAGTAGATAGATATAGATAGATATAATAGATACAGATAGATAGAATAGATAGATAGATAGATAGATAGATAGATAGTAGATAGTAGATATAGATATAGATTATATAGATTATATAGATAGTATATGATATATAGATATATAGATATATAGATATATATAATAGATATATAGATATATATATATAGATATATAGGATATATAGATATATAGATATTAAGGTATATTATATAGATATATAGATATATAGATATAATAGATATATAGATAATATATAGATATATAGATATATAGATATATAGATATAATAGTATATAGATATATAGATATATAGATATAATATATATAGATATTATAGATATATAGATAAATAGATAGATATATAGATGATATATAGATATTATATAGATATATAGATATATAGATAATATATGATATATAGATATATAGATATATGATATAATATATATAGATATAAGATATAGATATAGATAGATAGATGAATAAATAAAATATATAATAATACATTATGATTGATATAATTTAATAATATAAAGATAATTCATATACACATACATATATATAACTGATTAATATAGACGTGATAAATAACATCCTTATAGGGTGGCTCCCAAAATTCTGCAACCAATCACCTGAAACAATTACAGGGCATTGCAGGTTTGCGCGCTCCAGTCAGTCAAGTGAGTGAAAACAGGAGAACCTTAACGTTTTTATTATTACATCCAAGAATGACCACGCATATATGATTAGTGTTGAACCCCCAGGCTTATACTCCGCATGCCATCATGCGTGAGACAGACAAAATTGCGTCGCTTTGGTGATGAAGACCTGTACTTATATAGAGCTTTGGGTAAGGAATACTTCTGATGGAATAATGCAGAAGTAAATAAATCCCTATCCAACGGCAAGTTTCCAATATCGAGAGCATCAGATATGTGTCCATCTAAATAACATCGAGTGTATATTTTTGCCCACTATAACCTTAAAGAATTACGTGATGCAAAGGGTACGAAGTCCTCACTGACCGGCTGCCGGTTTACTGAAACAATATTGATGGTTGCTCATTTCCATCTCTATCCGTGCGTATGAAATAATGTTATCGGAGACATGTCAAAAAACTAATAAATTAGTAGATAAATAAGTATGTTAATAATTATGTAAAAAAATTACCGGGCACCAATGACTTTAGCTCAATACCTTTTTGGTTCTTCTGGTTCTCAGGCACGTTTTCAAAGCCAAAATGTGTTTCCTTCTCCGAAGAATATTCATCCTGAGCGTGACCCGATGCACTAGACTTAAAACCTGTTTCCTGAGAGAATAATATTTCGCGAAACCGAGGGTATTCTTCTGCACAGGGAGGCCGCCATGTTTGTTTACATTTTGTCGCGTTCGAAAAGTACTGCCGCAGGAAGAATTTAAAAAAAAGTCATCGGAGAAAATATTTTATTTTTAGTCAATTTTAGGCTGTTTTTGTAGATTTATTAGCCATTATTTGATATTGTGAGATGAGGGGGATTTGATGACAAAGCTTAATGAATTGCCATATATATAATACCTATATAATACTAATATTGGATATATAATTAATAGTATATATATATATATATACGTATATATATATACTATACTAATTAGTAATATCTAAATACTAGGAATATAATATACTAACATATATAATATATATAGTAGTATAGTAGGACTTATATAGTGCGTATCATGATGTATAATATTATAGGGTGAGTAGTATAATATAGGATAATAATATACATATGTATATATAATAGAGAGAGAGAGAGAGAGAGACGCAGAGAGAGAAGGAGAGAAGAAGAGAGAAGAGAGATGACGAGAGAGAGGAGAGAGAGAGAAGAAGAGAAGAGAGAGAGAGAAGAGAGAGTGAGAGAGAAGAGGAGAGATGAGAGAGAGAGAGAAAATAATACGTATATATATATACATAAGTATATATATAAGATATAATAATTATATATTAGTGATATAATAATATAGAACACACACACACACACACAACATGCACACACGACAACACACAGGACACCCACACATGTACCGACACACACACAACACACCACACACACACAACACACACACACACACACACACAACACACATACTATATATATAATAGTATAGATATTAGGAATATAATAATATATAGTATATATATATAATAGATAGATAAATGAGATAGATACGTAGATAGAATAAGATAGATAGATAGATAGATAGGATAGATATGTATGTGTGGTATGATATGTAAGTATTAATATCAGATAATATGAATAATTGTATATATCAATGATATGTCGGATGGATATCTAACATCATGTATAGTTATACAATAATAATTATATATAGGAAGATAAGCTGAGAGATGTATCAGATTGTATAGAAGACTAGCTAAAGTATATATTAATAGAGTATGTATAGATCAGATGTGATTGTAGGGACACATGTAGGTGGTTTGGGAAACTGAGGAGTTCATATATAGAGGAGGTAGTTGATGAATAAATAGTAAAATATAGGTATATATAATAAATATAAGTGCGAAGCATAATAGATATATTATATATGTTAGTACTATAATGTATATATTATGTATATACTATGTATACATGTATAATTGTATAAGCTGATACTACTATATACATATATATATATACTATAATATAATTGAAGATAATCTAAGTATTATATACTATAAAAGTGTAATCATTTGGTAGTGTGTGTAGTGGTGGCGGATGGTGTGATGTGTGTGATGGTGTGTGTGTGTGTGTTTTGTGTTGTGTGTTGTGTGTCGTGTGGTGGTGTGGTGTGTGTAGTTGTGTGTGTTGTGTGTGTGCGTGTGTGTGTGTTGGTGTGTGGTGGTGACGTGTGTGTGCGTGGTGTGCGGTATTTGTGTTGTGTCTATAAGGGTATATAGTATATATAGTAGTATAAGTATATATATTTAATATAAGTAAGTAGTAGTTACAGATCAATATTAAGAATGATAATGTATGGGATTCTATTGTAGTGCATTAGTATGTAGGCTTCTATGTGGCAGCGTGTTGAGAGACTCATCGACGGCAGATCACACCTCAGATTCGTGGACCATCACGTAAGGAATAATATACAGTCAAACGCAGACACAACAGGCGGCACACAGCCAGCACGACGAGCACAGAACACATCACCACAACTACACACGACACACGAGCGGGAACCAGTCAACACCGACACACACACCACACAACGCACACGCCACACACACGCACACACACACACGCGCACAACAAACACAATGCACACACAAGCGCACACACGCACACACGACACACACGCCCAACACGCACAAACGCAACACACGCACACACACACCACACACACACACACACACACATTACACAATCACACACACACATCACACACTACACACACACACACATATGATAATACGTATAGTATATATATAGTATATATATATATGATATAATGTAAATATAAGGTTATATTTCATGATATATTTGCATACATATATATATTCAAATAATGTGTGTTATATATATATAATATATATATAGTAATATTATATAGATATATAGTATAATATTAATATGTATGTATGTAATAATATAATTATATAAGGTTTAATATATATATATAAGTATATATATATAATAATATACATATATAATATAGGGGCTATACAATACAAGTATGGCGTAGAAGATGCTGCCGTACGTACAGGGCCGTGTATGTATGTATGTAAATCTCTCTCTCTCTCCTGTCTCTCTCTCTCCTTCTCTCTCATCTCTCTCAGTCGTCTCGTCTCTCTACTCTCGAGCTCTTCATCTTCTCTCTCGTCTCTCGTCGATCTCGATTCTT